ACAAAGTTCATATCAAATGAACCAAAGTGTTAGCAATACACTGGTAAGACTCATTACAATTTCAATTTCTATAGATATATATTTTTTTGTGATTCTGATTGGTAGCTCATGCCATTGAAAGAAATTTAGATTGGTACTTAGGGCAACCTAGGATAATGAAAGAGGGAAAACATAATTTGAAACTTGGATTTTAAATGAAGTCATCTATAAATTTACAAAGCCACTCTGCAGTTTTCCACAACAATAAATAGGACAAGAGAAAACAGAAGAAAGACAAAGAGAGACCAAAGTTTCAGACTTCTGTTTTCATCAGCARAGTGATTTACACTGGTGCAATTAAAATGACTAATGAGGAAAACATATTTGCTGCTRCTGCATCCCTTGAATTTTTCAGGCCGTGCTGCATAGTGGAGAGCAGCCTTTGTGCCTGCAGTAGGAATTGAATGGAGCAGGAAAGGGTGGGCTGGGGTTGTGTGAGTGGCTGTGACCTTCACCTGCTGGGCCAGGACTGGGGTTTGGTGTCAGGGATGGGCTGGATGGGGCAAGGGGAGTGTGAGCTCTTTGCAATCTCAATGTTCTTAGGAGCATTTTATCTGAAAATACAACCTGGAGCTCACCAAACACCTTCAGCTGGTTGTAACAATGRCATTGTCAGTTCCAGGAGTTTGTATAAAATCAGAAATGTTTTTAATGAGAGGTAAATGATTCACTGACACTCAGAGCCCTCGTGAGGAGTGTTGGCTCTGAACACAGTGGAATCCTTTCCTGCAGCAGCCAGGACCTGGCATGGGATGGATTCCAACTGACTGAATCCAAAGCATGGCAGGGATGGCTTTTATTCAACTGACTATGCAAACAGCATTATCCTTAAGGAAAATTATCCAGGAAAAAACCTCCACAATAATTCCRTCCCTCCTCTGCACTCAGCTCCGCAGCTCACATCAGCTCTCCTCTCTTTTTGCTTGTGTTGGGTTTTTTTCCTGTTTCATTATTGGTTTTGAGTTTATGGGTCACTCACAAGCAGTTCCCTGCACATCTTCCCTGCTCCAGCCCATGATCATTTAGCTCATAACTGTGCAGGATGAAATGCAAAGGACATCATCAGTGCTGCTAAGGGCCCCGCTGAAACTCGGGGGGATTTTGCCTTCTTAACCAGTAGGAAATTGGATATTTAATAGAAAACTTTATAATACAACTCTCYAATTAAAGCACAACAAAATGAAAGSCCCAAATTGCTTCATTTKGGCAYGGTATATAAACAACACTTATGGCTCCATGGAATTGCCATTGTGGGTGGAATTCAGGCAGTGTGGAAGTCACTCTTTTCCTTCTGTTCTCCTGCAGTGGATGGTGGTGGGTGTTCCCTCTCCTACTCTGCAGGAGGCAGGGATTCATGCCTTGGTGTCAGCTGCTGTAGCTACTTGAAAAGTACATTTCTAGGAAAAAAGAAAAAGGCAAAGGAATATTGGGAAAAGCCCCTCCTTTGAGGTGCCAAGTTGTTTTGAACACGAAATTCATCACCATGGTGGTGATCCACTGCAAACTGAGTGTGGGWGTGATGGGAAATAGTAACGGCAGCAAAAGGTGCAAAAAATGTCCCAGKATCCAAAATAACGAGCTGAATTCCCAGCACAGAGGCAGCTGAGCATATTCAGSCTTTCTGAGGATGCCCAAAACCTTCCTCAGGTGGCCCCTGGATTTGGGACTAAAACCCAAAACCAGGACATCTGAACCAGGTGACAGRGATGTCCCTTTGTCCCTTCCATCCATCATTCACAGCCAGGTGCTCTCTGTGCTCTCCAAGGTGAGAGCAGGAACCTTTCCCTGTGTTTTCTGTTTTCTTTCCCTCTTGCACAACTTAACCAGGAGTTATTTCTGTGATAAAGAAATTTTGAGATGGCCTTGAAAGCTCTGAAATTCTACAATTCACTTTGTTATGACAAATTCCATATTTTGAGAGTTATTTCTGTGAATTCCACTGCTTTTTCAGAGTGCTCCATTGGTTTTAATCCGCTTAATTCCAAAATGTCCAATATTTCAAAATTGGAATATTTTGAAATGCCTTCCAAAATGCCTTCAATAAAGAATTATTCAATGGAGTAGGGAACTATTTTTCCCCCAGCTGCCAATTTCTCTCTTCAGTTGATTTTCAGACTGGGATGAAACCGTAGCTCTGAACTCCAACAAAGAGCCAGGTTAAGATTTGTCTTTGGGTGCTTAATGCAGTTCGACATCTTGGAGAAGCAGGAATGAGAAGTGGTCATTATCCATTATCTGCTTGGAATCTTTCAGAGAAAGAAAACAGCTTCTGCCAAGCACAAAAAGATGTTTGAGCTGAAGCCAGACAAGAAGGAAACAAGATCACCTTCTAGCACTGTGAGATTRCTTTTCTGATGATGTTGTTTCAAGGAAAACTGGAATATGTATGGATGAAGAAATGCAGATGGTGCCATGGGTTTTACATGGATTAGCAGAGTTGTTCTGGACAATGATTCACTGTCCCTTCTCTTGGCAGAAAATAAATTTTCCAGTCTTGGAAAGAAATATATGTATATATGTATTAATAAATGTTTCTCTACATGGAAAAAGAGCAAATTTGAGCRAAAATAGTATCCTCTGGTGGAAAAATTAACAGTCAGAATGACCATTTTTGAAAAAAGCTCTATTGACACTGCACAATTCCAGGTCAGGAGTGATGGAGAACGTGGTGCCAGCTCTGGGTCAGCCAGGGGGTGAGGTCTGGGTGCCAGTGCTGGGTCCATCCCTTCACTGGGAGCTCTGTTTGGTGCTGTCTGCAGGGAAAAGTCACAGCTTCGAGGTTKTAGAGCCAGGTTTGGCAGATGTAGTAACTGGAACTGGTTTGTTTCAGCTCCTCTGTGGAAATATTCTAGAAATAGCTGAGAAAATGTCCTCTTCTGAAGGATAAAGAGCCAGCTGTTTATTGCAGCCCTCATCCTAGAGATGCAGGTTTCTGAACTTASCAGGCATCCAATCACAAAGACACAGAGGGAAGCTAGAAAACCAAATAATTTCAMATTGTATTTGTGATTCTTATGCACATAATGATGTTATCCTTACTGATGTCATGATTTGGCCATATGCTGTCTGGAGATCAATCAGCACAAAACAAAGACTGCATTTCCATTTAGGAAGCCAAAAATTGCTTCCATTCAATGCTCTGAAGTTCCTGAGTTTTGTCAATTCTTAATGAGAGTGAAATTTCAGTCTCCCACTTCTTCAGGACTGCACATTTCCCATCTTACATCTGCCTGGGCCTGTTGAATTTTGGTGGGGAAAATTCCCATCTAGGAAAAGGAGGAATTATTCATCCAGTTACTGAGTCTGGATTTCTTTCATATTATTTTTTTCCCTGTAACACAGTTACACATGAGGATCTCAGAGGTTTGGAATGTCAGAATAAGCCTGGGGGAGAACTGGTGGGAAGAGAACAGGTCACTCAACAATTTATTACATGGACATCAGTGTGACGTGCAAAATTTATGCTGCTTATTACAGACTCTGCATTTAAAGCATGTGGGTGTACAGATATAAGACACTCTTTACTTCTAAAATAAATAATGCAAAGTCCACTTAAATTAATGTTATTTCTGTTAACCAGCTACATCCCTTCATGTCCAATGAAATCTTACTAAAAAGCCYTGTTGGAAGAACATGTGCATCTCTTGTACCCGAGGTTGTCTTGTAGAACCGGTCTCCACTGTCCTTGAAATGCCCACAGCGATTTAAATCATTTACATAAACAGAAATGCTTTTACAAGGAGGATCCTGAAATGTGRTTTTAAAGCTGCCCAAAACCCCTAAACCATTAAAACAGATGTGAGTGATGGTTTGGTGAAATTTTCATGGTGCTTTCTGGTAAGTTAGGATCACAGAATCACAGAATCCAGTCCCAGCCCTGGARACACTGGAACTAATTTCTTCTCCCWTTTACATGAGATTGTGTCAGTGTCTTACACAGACACCAAAAAAAAAGGAGTATTCCTCAGCACGAGTTACTCTTCTGTAAAGGTTATAGTAAACATGTCAATGCCTAATTAAGCAGCAAATTTTATCCATATTGTGGGGGATGTGCAACTGTCTGGTACTAGAAGGATATCAYTGGGGCAGAAGTAACAAATTCAAAGGAGAAGAATGAGCCAGGTTCTTAAAAAGCYGTAAAATGTTTTTTCTCAGCTAAAGGGAAGGATTTGGATTTTAAAGAATCATACTCATCCAGTATCAAGTTCATCTTAGTAATTAAAGAGTTAATTTGCCAAAGAAAATCCTTCTGGATTTGTTCTACTTTTCCAGTTTTACARTTAGCTTTGGTCTACCTCTGTCAAATCTTCAGCAACTTCCAAGGGTTCTTGCCCTGAAATTTATGGCTTTGTTTTTACTGCAGCACAATTTGCTTTTATGGTACACAGTACATTATTTTTATAAACAAAAGAGTTTCACTTATGCCTATTAACGCTTTCGGATGTTCTATTTTGACATATAAATTATTTGTGTACATTCTAAAGTGCATTTTTAGGTAATCAGGTGGCAAAAGGTTGCTGTACCTAGATGATGCTCTGAACCAGGCAGATTATGGCAGTTATTTTTCTTCTCTTCCTTGCAAATTCCACCCTTTCTCTCACTGAGGCTAAAAACAATTTCATAGAATTGAAGCTTTTAGTATAAACTTTAAATTCTTACATATGAATTTTCCAACTGTCCCATTACAGGACAGTTAGAATTATACTCCCATGACAGGAAAATTATTAACTCGGGATCTCTGGCAGTTATAAAGAATTATGATCATCTGCCAACAAAATGCAGCAACCTTYACAAAAAAAGAGACATCATTTGGCTTTTTTTTTTCACTTCCAGAACTAACAGGGAATAAAGTTACAGATTAAAACAAAATCCAGTAAAGAAAATACATAGTGAAAGTAGAACGCTCAGACTGTAACATTCTCCTTTAACAGATTATTTCATATATTGACATTACATTTCAGGTTATGTCCAAGAGGAAGATTTAAAGGAAGAGGAAGATATAAAGGAGGAGGAAGAAGATGACGATGACAACAACTCAACAGCTCAGCTGCAGGGCAGCAACGACACTGGCACGGATGAGGAACACGAGGTGGGTCCTGAGCAGAAAGGGAACTTCAGTTTCCAGAATTCCCCTGTCAGTCACATATCCAACCAGGATGCAGAGAACGAATCACTGCTGAGTGACGGCAGTGACCATGTGGCCGAYATCAAAAACATTTGCTCCAGGGAGCCCCAGGACCCCAAAAGCAGCGCCCATCCCAAAGCCCAGAGCGAAGCACATGACTGCATGGATAAAATGACAGCRGTCTACGCCAACATCCTGTCGGACTCTTACTGGACAGGCTTGGGGCTGGGCTTCAAGTTGTCCAACTCCGAAAAGAGGAGTTGCGACAACCGGAACGGAGGGAACAAAGCTGATTTCGATTGGCACCAGGATGCTCTGTCCAAAAGCTTGCAGCAGAATTTGCCTTCCAGGCCCGTCTCCAAGCCCAACCTGTTCAGCTCGGTGCAGCTCTACAGGCAGAGCAGCAAAATGTGCGGGACTGTGTTCACGGGCGCCAGCCGCTTCCGCTGCCGGCAGTGCAGCGCTGCCTACGACACCTTGGTAGAGCTCACGGTGCACATGAACGAGACGGGGCACTACCAGGATGACAACCACAAAAAGGACAAGCACAGACCCACCAGCTACTCCAAGCCCCGGAAAAGGGCGTTCCAGGACATGGACAAGGAAGATGCACAAAAAGTTCTGAAGTGTATGTTCTGTGGTGATTCTTTTGATTCCCTKCAAGATCTGAGTGTTCATATGATCAAAACAAAACATTACCAAAAAGTGCCTTTGAAGGAGCCGGTACCAACCATTTCTTCAAAAATGGTCACTCCAGCCAAGAAACGTGTGTTTGATGTGAACAGGCCTTGTTCCCCCGACTCCACGACCGGGTCTTTCTCCGACACCTTCTCTCCTCAGAAGAAYGCCAACCTTCAGCTCTCCTCCAACAACCGCTACGGCTACCAGAACGGGGCCAGCTACACCTGGCAGTTCGAGGCCTGCAAATCCCAGATTTTGAAGTGCATGGAATGTGGAAGCTCCCATGATACCTTGCAGCAGCTCACCACCCACATGATGGTCACTGGCCATTTCTTGAAAGTCACGAGTTCAGCTTCAAAGAAAGGAAAGCAACTTGTTCTGGATCCTTTAGCTGTGGAAAAAATGCAGTCGCTGTCTGAAGCACCAGCCAGTGACAGCCCYGTTTCCAAATCAACCAGTAAATCATCTGCAGAGTGCATAGGTCCTGCTTCTGAACTTAAAAAAGAAAGCAAAAAAGATAAAGCTGATGATGCAAACAAAGATGAGAAAGCGGTGAAAACTGAGGAGTACGAAGACACTCTTCAGAAACCCCTGGATCCCACCATGAAATACCAGTACCTCCGAGAAGAAGATTTAGAAGACGGTTCGAAGGGTGGTGGGGACATTTTAAAGTCCTTGGAGAACACCGTCACAACAGCCATCAACAAAGCTCAGAACGGGGCTCCCAGCTGGAGCGCCTATCCCAGCATCCACGCCGCGTACCAGCTCTCCGAGGGGGCCAAGCCATCCCTGCCTGTGGGGTCCCAGGTGCTCCAAATCAGGCCAACCATGACCAGTAAACTGAGGCCCATAGCGCCCAAGTGGAAGGTGATGCCTCTGGTGCCTGTGTCAGCCAATGTGAGCCAGTGCACTCAAGTGAAGAAGGAGGCTGAGGACAAGGAGGAGGTCCCGAAGGACTGTGCTAAAGAGGGCGTGCAGGCTGAGCCGGCCTCGCTCAGCCAGAGCGACAGGGAACCTCTCCTCAAAGCTGAACCCTCTGTGGAGCCAAAAAAGACAGAGCCCTGTCCCTTGAAAGAAGAAGACAAAATTAAGGAGGACAGYGGGAAAGAAAAGCCAGTCCTCAAGGAGCCGCCGGCAGCTTCTCTCAGTAATGGTTGTGCCGCTGCCAACCATTCCTCGGAGCTGCCCTGCGTGAACCCCCTGAGCGCRCTGCAGTCGGTCCTGAACAATCACTTGGGCAAAGCCACTGAGCCCTTACAGCCTCAATCCAACTGCAGCCCCAGCTCTAGCACAATCTCCATGTTCCACAAACCCAATCTCAAYATGATGGAGAAGCCGGTTTTATCTCCTGCTCCAACCCCACCAAAGCCTGCCAGTGTATCCAGGCACTATTTGTTTGAAAACAATGATCAGCCTATTGACCTGACCAAATCCAAAGGCAAGAAAGCTGAGTCAGCTCAAGCACAATCTTGTACTTCTCCRCCTCAGAAACACGCTCTGTCTGACATCGCCGACATGGTCAAAGTTCTTCCCAAAGCTACCACACCAAAACCTGCTGCATCCTCAAGGATCCCGTCCATGAAGTTGGAAATCGATGTCCGACGCTTCGAGGATGTCTCCACGGAAGTCTCCACTCTGCATAAAAGAAAGGGCAGACAGTCAAACTGGAACCCTCAGCATCTGCTCATTTTGCAAGCTCAGTTTGCCTCCAGCCTCTTCCAGACGTCTGAAGGTAAATATTTATTATCAGATCTAGGCCCGCAAGAGCGCATGCAGATTTCCAAATTCACTGGACTGTCGATGACCACCATCAGCCACTGGCTGGCAAATGTCAAGTACCAACTTAGGAAAACCGGAGGAACAAAATTTTTGAAAAACATGGACAAAGGACATCCAGTCTTTTATTGCAGCGACTGTGCATCTCAGTTCCGAACCCCCTCTACTTACATTAGCCACTTAGAATCCCACCTAGGTTTCCAAATGAAAGACATGAACAGGCTGGCTGTGGAGCAGCAAACCAAGGTAGAGCAAGAAATCTCCAGAGTTTCAGTTCAAAGATCTCCTGAAACAATAGCTGGGGAAGAGGACACAGACTCTAAGTTCAAATGTAAGTTGTGCTGTCGGACATTTGCGAGCAAACATGCAGTAAAACTTCATCTAAGCAAAACACACAGCAAGTCACCAGAACACCATTCACAGTTTGTAGCAGAAGTGGATGAAGAATAACTCTTAAGGTATGCATGCTCTATAGTGAGTTTTCATTTCAGCATTTCCAGGAGGCTCCGGCAGGCTCCGTGCTTTGGTAAAARTAGGAAAACAGTATAAAATGCATCGTGTATGCTGCGCCGCCCCTCTCTCGCATGTACACATCCATTTTATAACGTTTTCAGCAGGAGAGCTTGGTCAATGCAAACCTCACTGCCCTAGAGAGAAATGTTGCTGCTTATTATTTGCAAAAGAGCTGTTTGCCCGTTTCTCTTTTGTTCCTAAGAATAAATCCTTTCATATCCATGCGCTTCTGTGTGGAATGCAAGAACTAAGTGCTGCTCTTTGCAGTGAGAATGGAAAAAAAAAAACAAACAGATAAAGAGCACTGAAACCCAAAAGGTTATTGCCCCTTTCAGTGCTAGCACACCAATAGATCTGATTTGGATGGGGGAAAAGAAGACAATTCAAAAGCCAAATTAGCGAAATCTCACTGATTCCAAGTCTCTCATAATCTCAAACACAGCCTCGAGAATCTACAATTAACTCTGAAAAGTTCCTATCTAGAAGTTCAGTTATTCTTCTGTTGATATTTCGATGTTCAGTTCTGTAAAATATTTTAATATTTTACACTTACTTAAACACTTGCTACTGTGAGTGGCCTTTTTTGTCACATCATTTTAACCTCTCTCTCCATCATTCCTTTTTTTAATCTTTAAGATGTTTGATTATATTTTGCTTCGTGTTGGTGGAAGTCAATCCATAAACATCACTGACTTCAGTGCAAGTTCTCGTATAACCTGGGGGAGTTAATGCTTAACTGAGATTTTTTACAAGCTTAATATTTCCAAGACCTGTTAGTAGGATACTGCTGCGTTAGTGTTGCTATTTTTTTGCTGCAAGATACACCAGTTGCCACAACCAATGTTTATAACATGTAATGTAATATTCAGATGCCACACCATTTTTGCATTTTTAATTTTACTTGATTCACAAACTTGAATATTCTTGATTTAAATAAATATGCAGAACATCAACTAAAAGTCCAAATAGAAGTTTTTTGTTCTAACCAGTTTTTTTTTCCAGGAAGGCTCTGTTTAGTTGTTCCCAGCAATTCCTCCAGCAGGCTGGGGTTCTGCCGGTGCTCACACAACAATCATGTGCAGATCCAGCTTTCCTCCAGCATGTTCATTATTCGAAAAACATTCAGRAAATGAATTTGTCAGACGGTCAAAATTAAAGATGTGCCGTTGTCACTGCTGCCACCTGCCTTTGTGACCATCCCTGGCTGCCTGAGGGGCACAGCCTCCATCCCCTTTTGTGGGGAGATTTCCCATTTGTTTGCTGCAAATATTCACAAAGCTTTAGGAAACACTTTCTGTAGGCAGAGCCGGCACRAGGGCTCTGCGTCACTTAAGCTCCATTAAAAAGGCTACTTTTGAATAATTTAAACCACTAATCAAGGGGTTACTTTGGGCTGGTAATGTAAGCTATTGCCATGGAGTATCACGTCAGCGTTCAAGTGCAGTAAGATTTAAGTTTTGCATACATCTTGTACGTGCTGTCTGCACTGGAGRGGATTTATGCTGCCTGTATATTTTAGCCAGCAAAATTCTGTTTCACTCAAAAGGAGTTTGTTTTCTAAATACCCTTAAGTATCTATTTTGGCAWTTTAACCCAGTATTAGGACTCAACAAATAAATATTTCTTGTTTACCTGGCCATTCCAAATCAACATCCCCGAGAGCCTGGGTAGGAATAAACATCCCATCCTCTGTTTCCTTCCCCACCAGTTAACGATTATTAAGACTCTGCCATTCACAGTTTTCACACAAGAGATATTAGAGCAAACCAATAATTTGGGGACTATCAAACAAAAGCTATCTGCCAGATATATTAATACAACAGTTATTTTGGCACATTCATGGCTTAATGCATGACAAATGTTTCAGATTTGGTYTTAAAAGCACCATGTTATTACTCAGAGGCAAACCAAACACCCACCTTTATAAACACGTTGCTATTGCTGAGCATCGGAGGAGCAAATACAAAGGGGGGAAAAAAAAAATCTCCAAGGGAAAAAAAAAAAAAGTGGTTTCTGCATTGTAATAACCTGCACAGAGACATATTATTCAGGTGATGTGTAACTACATAAATAAGGGACTGTCCTTCCTGCCTCTGGATCCCGAGAAATTGCTGTCCTCGTAATACTCATCCATTTCTAATTTATATCAAGATGCAGGTTGTATCTTACCTTTGAAAAAATATATTTAAATTGCAATGACAGAGTGATAGCACTGTTATCTGGAGCTATAATTTCAGTTGGTATGCATGATAGCACAAATTGTCTGAAATGATGGGGTATTTGGGATGGCATTGTAAAGATTTTATTATGGTTTCGGAGCCGAAAGCCTCCCGAAGTTCTGACTAGGTTGGGAGTGGGGAGGCCACAGTTTATTCATATGGATTCTTCAGAAATCTGCAMGGAGACAAAATCAAATAACAGGGATTTTCAGAGTTTACTCGCTCTTACCGTGTTATTTTTAAGATCCAGTAYGCATTTGAATAATAACAGAGGAGAGCAGAGTATTTGGAAAAGAGAAATATAAAGCTGGGATTCTTAAAACACACACATGCATTTGTGTTTCCTTCTTCCAGGCAATATTGTAGCAAAATAGGCATAAAAAATAGAGAATATAGATTGGAATAAATGGAAATAAAACAGTGGAAAGAGTACTTGAAGTATAGAAATACATAAAGTACTTTATATTTCAATGGCATTTACTAGTAGAGGTTATATTGTCAAATGTTAGCTATCATTAAAAATATAAATGAATAATCTGGGTTAGTACTGTAGAAAAATGTGTTATGGATATGGATTTATTTTTAAGACCTCTGTGAGGCTGTTTATAAGAAATTTGCTATAAATTCTTCTTAAATGTAAAGATATATATATCTCTTTTATATTCATCTTTGGTGTTTTCCTGAATTCTTCTAAGTGATATGGGTTTGGTAATATAAAGTAAGATTATGTGTAATATACAACAATCAGACATCTCTATTCTCTTCCATTTAACCCACTTCAAATTTGTTTTTATTGCTATTCTTCATAGAAAACCCATGAACATTAGGAAACATGGCTTTAATTAGAAGTAATTTGTATGTTGACTTGTACCTTGAAGAACATTTGTTCATTTCTTCAACGGAATTAGAATTTTTATGTTGTTCTGAGGGGAAAGRCAGGGCAGAATTGTGTTTAGAGCCAGGTGAGATTGGCTTGGAACTGGTCACTGACAGAGGCTCCCTGTGGCCTTAGCTACAACTTTTGACAGAAATAAATCTCGATAAAGTCAAATGAACCAACTTAATTGGGGAGATTTCRGTTTCAAAAGCCCCTGATAAGCGAGCAGGCAGCTACCTGAGATGAACTAATTTGAAAGTAAGGCTGCTGCAAAACAAAAAAAAAAAATGAGTCATAATGATAAACAGTTTTTCTCTCTGTTTCCTCCTTTGTCTTTTTTTAACCATCAAGTTTAAAGCTTCTATGGCGCTTTTTTTCTACTTTATAGGAGACAACTGACATTCTGTGGTAAATGGAAGAAAGAGCAGAGCAGAACTGAAAATCCTCTAATGCACTGACACTAACTTGCCCTCTATTGTTGAAAATGAGCAGGCAATCATGATTGTTCATCAAATGGCTCCTAATGCAGTTAAAGCATTCAGCTATAATTTCTCCTTGCATTTATAATTACTGTCATAGACTGCACACCTCAGTGAGCAGATTAAAGCTATAAACTATTTAGCCGTAGCTTTAAGATGAGGAACTTGATTTGTCTGGCAGCAGTTATTTGTTAGAGAGCTTGACACTTCACATAAAAATGACTCAACTTGATGAAGAACAATGCAGTTTAAGCAATGCAGTGATTTTAAATCAGTCATTATACCACGCCCTGTAAGAATTGCAAAGCAATTTGTTAAATGATATATAGGACACGTAGATAACTGTATGTGTTAAGTATACCAAAATAGAAGATTTTTTTTTCCTTCTCTGGGTTTTATTTTCTCGTTCTTCTGAAGCAGTGGGAGCTGCTCTGATCGTGTCCCACTCTTAGCCAATATGGCTGTTTCGTGGTCAAGGACAATCGTGTGAATTAGTGGTACAGAATTCTGTTTTAGAGAATTTAGCCAGCTCTTCAACTTTCATTTCTTCTTAGCAACAAACACGAAACGCTGAGAGACTCTTCCAGGAGAATCAGACGTGCTGGGATGTGGCTGCCTGCAGTGGTGTCACCACGATTTTTTAGGCAGAATTTACCAGCAAAACCAAGGGCTCTGYTCCCCCATCATCAGCCAGAAAAGGAGGGTTCCTCACATGGGAGCCTGGATTATTCCATTCAATTGGGRCTTTTCTGACATTGTCTTTTTGGAAAATGATGGCTTCTCAGTGAGAAGAAAAAATCTGTGGGGAAGCTCCAWTTTCAAATAGATTTTTGTTGGGATAAATCAGTAAAAATGCTGAGCACCATGAAGGAAAGGAGACAAAGGTAGGAAAAGAAATAGGCTGGCCTTTCTGCTGAAGCAAAATCTTCAGAAATTCTTACAACCCATCACTCCTCCCTCAAAACAGTCTTATTCTGATGAAGCCTTGGTTCTCCCAATCCTTTGAAATTTATCACTCTTTCCCTGAAGTGGTAGATCCAGATTTTTTTTTTTAATTGAACATTTTTAAATCCTCAAAATTTTCCTGGCTAGTATTTTTTCACTGTAACCATMACCCTTGCAAACCCAATAACGGTGTGTTCTTGGCTTCCCTTAGCGCAGATCAGACTGAATGATCCATCAGAGATGTATCAGTGCAGATTTTCTGGTTTTTTTTATGAATACTCCAGGTTGCAGTTAAGATCAGTGTTATTTAACATTGCATCAGAGCTTCCAGCCCACTGGGTCAACCCACGTTGTTCTGGGCTCTGCACAGACACATTGTGTGTGGCAGTTCCAAGGCAGCAGCTCCTCTGCTCACACAGAAAAAG